TATATGTTCTCCCTGTTAATGCAAGTGTATATTTGTTCATGTTGGTTGTGGTGTGGCTATCCCTGGTTATGAGGTTTTAAATTGTTCGGGTATCATATTGCTTCCGCGTGTGCTTTAATCTCTATGTTGGGCGTTGGGTCGGCAACGCGTCGTGGGACGTCGCACTTGAATCGACCGCGGCAGGGATGTGGCGCGCCGTAGGGTGCGGGGTATGACATTATAGGGGTAGGATTCTCTGACCTTGGTATAATTCTAACAGGAGTTTGAGAATTTGATCCCCTATTACCATTATATCCAACATGAGGAGGTCCCGATATTGGTGGAAACGATGTTGTCCCAAAAGGATTTGCATAAAAGGGTGGAACTTGAGAAGATGAACCAGGACGCGATATTACCTCATTTATAGCATTGATCACCATGGGCTTTATCACATCTGTCACATGTCGCACTATATGGTTGGTAAGGTCCTCAAACATCCTTTTCATTGTGGCTACCAAGGTGTTATCTGGTGCCAACGAGCGGGCTTGTTCTTCAGTTAATTGCCGAGGAATGTCGGGATTCTCCTCTACTTGATTAGCCGCAGAGTGTTCAGAACGTGCTTCCTCAACTGGATTGTTGACGTTACCGACCGGTATTCCTTCAAATTGCCTAGTTCTCACCATTTCTCCAAATCTTTCCATGCGAGTCCCACCGGGCGTGCCAAAAAGATTTTCGCCCGTTTTGAGATGAGGAATATCTTTCATCGAAACTTTGATTTTCGATTTTTATTAAGATAAGTTCTGTGGCTTGATTTCTAGGAGAGTCGTGGCAAAGAAGGAAACAAAGTGGGCACAAGGTTATATGGAACGAATATAATTCGAATGGATTGAAAATGGATCTGAGATTAACAGAGTTCCAAGCTAAGTTACAATACTCCTATGAAAGCTGTAAAGAACTTGAAAGCTAACTAAAGTTGCAGGAAGCTATAAATGCAGGAAGTAAAGGTACAGAAGAAACTAAAGTGCAGATAAGCTTGAGTGTTTTTGCATTGTTGTTGATGATTTCTTCCTCTCCCTTTCTTCTGAGTATTTGTATCTCCTCATATCCTGTAACTGCTCGTCGGTTACTTCTATGTTTCAAATTTTGAATTTTGGCGCTTCCAATAACTACCTTTTTCTAACCACGTTTTTCCAGTTTTATTGTCCGCCAAAACTTGATCTCAACCGCTGGGACGACTTCAAATTTGGACAAGTAACTCCCCACAATATGCTCGTGCTCACTATTTTCGCTTTTTGCTCTAAACTTCCTGCTATCTTGATTTACGTGGCTGGGCTATGATTCATCTTTTCCGATTTTCTATAATTTCGGTATATTCCCGAAGTGTAAACTTCCCGAATTTAGGGAAAGAGTCAACGTCCCGAGGCATAAATGTTCCAACGTTCTTTATATTCCCGAACTATGACTTTCCATGTTTCAGTAAACATACCGATATTCATCAACTACCGAATTCGGGATATGATGCCATTCACGCTTGCTTCCTAGCATGTTTCCGAATTTTATCCAAACATATTTCGGAAGATGGCTGATTTCCATTATACACTAGGTTCGGCATTGAAGCCGACTCAGCGTCTATGCCGATTCTTATTTTGGTGTCAACAAGAGCATCTACATATCCTTTTGCAAAACCAACAGTTATTTCGCCCTTTATTTGTAAGGAAAATAATATTGGATGATCATGCGTTCTCGAACGAATCAAGCATTTTTTCTGGTTTCTGTAAGCATACTAGCAAATGGGCAAAAGTACACCACAAGTGCCATAACTTGTGTACGGCGATCACTTTGGTGCCATAACTTTTTTTCGGATCACTTTGGTGTCAAGTCGGAGGAAAAGAAATCATTTTAGTGCTAATTTGGCCGGAAATCCGACGTGGCATTTTTTATTAATTTTTTACGCTGATGTGGCTCGCCGGAGGCTGAGTCAGCGTGTACAGTCAGTTTTTTTTATTTTAAATAATTTTTTCCAGCGTGAACAGTCAGCATTTTTAAATTTAAATATTTTTTTCCTTTTTTTTTCTTCTTTCCTTTTTCTTTTCTTTTCTTTTTTTTTTCTTTTCTCCCCTCGTCGGCCTGTTGCCGTTGGCCGGCCGGACACCGGCGAAGCCCAGGAAGGGCTGGGCGAGGGCGGCCTCGCCAGATCTGGGCGAGGCAACCCTCGCCGGCGACAGGCGAGGCCGGCCCTCGCCGACCCGGGCGAGGTGGCCCGGGCGTGGGCGACCCTCGCCCGACGTCGGCGAGGGCTTCCTCGCCCAACGCCGGCGAAGGTCGCCTCGCAGATCCGGCGAGGGCGACCCTCGCCGGCGTAGGGCGAGGGTCGTCCTCGCTGAGTCCGGCATGGGCGACCCTCGCCCAACGCCAACGACGGCGACCTCCGCCGCCCGGGCGAGGGCTTCCTCGCCGGATGCTGGGAGGCGACCCTCGCCGGCGTCGGGCGAGGAAGCCTCGCCTGGGCGGGCGAGGGTCGCCCTCGCCGGCATCGGGCGAGTGCTTCCTCGCCGGATGCGGGAGGGCGACCCTCGCCGGCGTCGGGCGAGGGAAGCCCTCGCCCGGGCGGGCGAGGTCGCCCTTGCCGGCATCGGGCGAGGGCTTCCTCGCCGGATCGCGGGGCGACCACGCCGGCGTGCCCGGCGAGGAAGCCCTCGCTTGGGCGGGCGAGGTCGCCCTTGCCGGCATCGGGCGAGGGCTTCCCTCGCCGGATCTGGCGAGGGCGACCCTCGCCGGCGTCTGGCGAGGGAAGCCCTCGCTTGGGCGGGCGAGGGTCGCCCTCGCCGGCGTCGGGCGAGGGTCGCCCACGCCTGACTCAGGCGAGGGCGACCCTCACCCACCTAGGTGAGAGCTTCCCTCGCCAGATCCGACGAGGGTAGCTCTCGCCTGGGCCGGCGAGGGGCGGCTTCGCCTGGCCGGCGAGGGCCGGCCTCGCCTGTTGCCGGCGAGGGTCGCTTGGCCCAGATCTGGCGAGGCCACCCCTTGACGGCCATTGGCAAGGCCGCCCTCGCCCAGCCCTTCCCGGGCTTCGCCGGTAGCCGGCCGGCCACCGGCAACCGGCCGGCGAGGGGAGAAAAGAAAAAAAAGAAAAGAAAAAAAAAGGAAAGAAGAAAAAAAAGGAAAAAAATATTTAAAAATAAAAATGCTGACTGTACACGTTGGAAAAAATTATTTAAAATAAAAAATGCTGACTATACACGCTGACTCAGCCTTCGGCGAGCCATGTTAGCGTCAAAAATTAATAAAAAATGCCACGTCGGATTTCCAGCCAAATTGGCAATAAAGTTATATCTTTTCCTCCGACTTGGCACCAAAGTGATCTGAAAAAAAGTTATGGCACCAAAGTGATCGCTGTACACAAGTTATGGCACTTGTGGTGTACTTTTGCCCTAGCAAAAGTAACTCTTGTACTATAACTATAGATCAACCCACGTCTCCCAATCAAAAGCTTAAGTTAATAAGGTATGTGTAAACTATGATACATTAACTCTTCCAAATCACATCAATTTTCAATTGCAGGTTTCTTGTACAAGGTAGTCGATTTAATCTATGAATGTCATGTGTAAGTTTGAATTTGAAGAAGTACGTAGGTTTTTCTTCCAAAAACTACCCTTTAGAAAACAGACAACCTTCATCCATGATCATGACCACCCTCCCTGAATCGGAAGCGGCGCACCTCTACACTTTCCGATATGGGAATGTCAGAGATAGTGAAAAGGGCAAAAACCACCAAAAGCCCTAAACTATGCTTACTGTGACACATTTACCCTAAACTTTTTTCTGCGATACCAAAATTTCTAAACTTCTGCTTGTGAGATATATTTACCCTCTGTTAATGTCCACCAATTAGCACTATTAAAAATATGGCTAAATGGGCATCGGACAGCAAACGGTGTTGTATTGTGCCCACATGACTTAAGTGAAATAAAAATGATTTTGTTTTGATTGAAAAATCATCTGACGAAATCTTGACGGAGGTAAATGTGTCACATAGGTACAAGTTTGGGGTTTTTCATGTCATAAGAAAAAATTTAGGGTACAAGTGAGCGTAATTTGGGGTTTTTGATGTCACAAAAAAATTTCAATGTAAATATGTTGACTATAGTCTTGGGTTTTTTGTGGCCTTTTCTCTTGTGAAAATTGTTTTTTTCTTTTTGCAATTTTGATAAAGTGAATGTCTATTACTTTTGCTGCTGTTTGCCTTATAACTTTATCTTGTTATTACAAGGAAGTCCACCCTCGAAATGTAAATTCCAGACCCATAAATAATCCCATAAATCTCACGTCCTGGATAAGAGACAAGTCAAAAACTCGAGCAGGTTGTGCGCACATATTTTTATAGGGTTAATACCATGAAAAACCCCAAACTGCTATACCTGTGACAAATTTATCCAGAACTAATTTTCTGACCACGAAAAATCCTAAACTGGTATACTTATGATAAATTTACTCTAAAGTAATTTTTTGACCACAAAAAATTTCAAACCGGTACATTTGTGACAAATTTACCCTATGTTAGTTTCCGTTAAATTAGATTAATACTACGAAAAATCACAAACTAATACACCTGTGACAAACGAAGGGGTATAACCCCAGACTGGTACACCTGCCAACTGCCACCCGTCATCCAACTCATCAATTTGACGGTAAAATTTTACGAAAACTAACGGAGGGTAAATTTGTCACAAGTGTACCACTTTGGAATTTTTCGTGGTATTAACCCATTTTTGTACATATTCAATTACTACAGTTTACCTTGTTGTTGAGTTAGAGTAGTACTTGGTCACTTTATCGGCAGAGAATTATGAGCACTCAATTTAATCTTTTTTTCCCGAATATAAGATGGCCCAACATAAAGATTATATCTAGGGTTAGAAACTGCCTCTGAATTCTCCAAACCTTTTATATGTGCGACTGACCGGGTTCCTGGTTTTATTGCTAATTACGTACCAGAGTAGAAAGGTCAACGTAAACCCCCAATTAGTTAGAAGAAGAGAATGAGAATGTGTCTATGAATTGCTATTTTAGTACGGGTGTCACGTAGAGGAAGGGTATACTTTACAGGATAGTTGGGTATCGAAAAGGTTATAAAAGGATGTGCAAGTAAAGCCTTTTTGTGAGCTGTGATAAAGAGCCCAAGTTGTGGGAGAAAATAGAAGATGAGAAAGATGGCTTCTTCTCTTTTGTCCGAGTTGATGAGGATTTTGCTGTGTGCTTTTGTGTTGAGTGTTCATGGCTCTTTTGAAAAGCAGGTTCATGTCCATGGAGCTCAGATTACGGTCCCTCTCAGCTCTCTTTCTCCTTCTGTCAATTGCACAGCTTCAACTACCAATGGTCTCTCTCTCTCTCTGTCTCTCTCTCTCTCTCTCTCTCTCTCTCTCTCTCAGAGTATGTATCTTTGTGCTTATGTGTGTGTAAACGTGGTATTCCGTGGGACTGCTCAACAAAATTCAAAATGATAAGCGATTGATTTTTGGGTTGTGATCTGTTGAATCTATCAGTTTTTACTCAAAGTATACTGCCGACAAGTTCGTCCAAACTAATTCTTGTTAGTTGTAACAACGTGTTTGTAGGGGAATGAGTCCATTTCTTTTTGCTAATAACATTGATTATAATATGCTACACACCCTCACAGCAGATACTTGAATATTAAACAGCCTTGAATTGAGCTGAAAGTCTTTCAAAAGTGAGCGAGACGGAGATGTCAATGAGAAACTTAGGAGAAGACCCTAGGAGAAGACCCTAGGAGATTTGAGCTAGGATAAATGCAGACCTGCATGCTCAGTGAGTAGGAGTTGTACCTAAGATAAGTTAAAAGTGTACTTGTTTATCTCCCCTACTTAACCAATTCGGGTCGAGTCTCTAAGTGGACTCAACTTTAGGTTAAGTTGGGATTGATCATATGTACAAAGCCGATGGATTGTTCTTTCTTGCTTATAGCAAAGCATAATCTAAAAGGAAGGATAACGATACTGAATCATAAGGTTGGTGGATGAAGAAACCCCAAAATATAGCATGATCATTCATGAAACAACAGATAGTTTATTTAATAAGGAGTGTTACACTCCAACCATATTGCAATTAATTAATTAGCTACTCATAAACATAAAATTTGATTGCTTAGATACCATGAGAGCTTTGATGAGTATTTTCAATAGTATGCTGCCAATGAATTCTCATTCCTTGCATCTGACATAGTTCTGCGCTGTAATATAATCTCTTGTTAATGCGTTTGTGACTTCCATTATTTCTTTTTCAGGGAACTCAAGCCTTAAACTAGTTCACAAGTATGGAGCATGCTCTCAGCTGTTCGATGGTCGCCCCATCAACCACACGCAGGTTCTTCTCGAAGACATGGCAAGGGTGAAATGGATCCAATCCAAGGTCTCCAACAGCGTCAGTGGCACCAGTGATTCGAAGGAGTCCACCGTCAACCTCCCAGCGAGTTACGGCCCCAGCGGCTACAGCTATGTTGTGACTATAGGCCTTGGCACGCCGACGAAGGACCTGACCCTCCTGTTCGATACGGGAAGTGCGCTTACTTGGACCCAATGTGAGCCTTGCATCGTGTCTTGCTATAGCCAGGCCCAGCCAATCTTCGACCCCTCTCAATCATCGTCCTATGCCAGCATATCTTGCAACGCGTCATCTTGCACTCAGCTTTCTTCTACCACAGGTAACAATTGACGGGTGGTGGTCTCATGCCCAATTAGGTTTTTAATTGGTGGTTTACAAAATTAGACATCATCAACATGTAATACTTAACAATAATGATCAGCAATGTCAATGTTTGTAACTCGCCAATTGAAAGCCCTCCTCCATTCTCATAGATGGCAGAAAACATGCCCGATCAACCATGTTGGCGAGATTTTTATTTAACAGAACAAAAACAAAGAAAAAGACTGCTAGTTGTGAGGGGTTTCTAAAAACACGTTTAAAATCACTTTATAAATCAGCTTTAATGATCAGCAGGTGGTCAACCTAACTGTAGCGGATCCACATGCTTCTACGGGGCGACATACGGTGACAAGTCCTTCTCGGATGGGTTATTTGCTACGGAAACGCTGACCCTAACCCCGACAGATGTTATTACCAACTTCAAATTCGGTTGTGGTGAGAACAACCAAGGGACATTCAATAGGTTTGCTGGACTCCTCGGGCTTGCCCGAGACCCAATATCGATCGTAGAACAAAGTGCGACCCAGTATGGCCAATACTTCGGCAAAAGTACACCACAAGTGCCATAACTTGTGTACGGCGATCACTTTGGTGTCATAACTTTTTTTCGGATCACTTTGGTGCCAAGTCGGAGGAAAAGAGATCACTTTAGTATCAATTTGGCCGGAAATCCGACGTGACATTTTTTATTAATTTTTGACGCTGACATGGCTCGCCGGAGGCTGAGTCAGCGTGTACAGTCAGCATTTTTTATTTTAAATAATTTTTTCCAACGTGTACAGTCAGCATTTTTAATTTTAAATATTTTTTTCCTTTTTTTTCTTCTTTCCTTTTTCTTTTCTTTTCTTTTCTTTTTTTTCTTTTCTCCCCTCGCCGGCCGGCCACCAGCGAAGCACGGGAAGGGATGGGCGAGGGCGGCCTTGCCCATGGCCGGCGAGGGGTGGCCTCGCCAGATCTGGACGAGGAGACCCTCGCCGGCCCAATCGAGGCCGCCCCTCGCCGGCCCAGGCGAGGGCTGCCCTCGCCGGATCTGGCGAGGGAAGCTCTCGCCTGGGCGGGCGAGGGTCGCCCTCGCTTGAGTCGGGCGTGGGCGACCCTCGCCCGACGCCAGTGAGGGCGACCCTCGCCCGCCCAGGCAAGGGCTTCCCTCGCCCGACGCCGGTGCCGGCGAGGGTCGCCCTCGCTAGATCCGGCAAGGGAAGCCCTCGCCTAGGCGGCCGTGGGTCGCCCTCACCGGATCTGGCGAGGGTGACCCTCGCCCACCCAGGCGAGCGCTTCCCTCGCCCTACGCCGGCGAGGGTCGCCCTCGCCGGATCCGGCGAGGGCGACCCTCGCCGACGTCGGGTGACCCTCGCCGGCGTTGGGCGAGGAAGCCCTCGCCGGCGTCGGGCGAGGGTCGCCCACGCCCGGGCCACCCTCGCTCGGGCCGGCGAGGGCCGGCCTCGCCTGTCGCCGGTGAGGGCCGCCTCGCCCAAATCTATCGAGGCCGCCCCTCGCCGGCCATTGGCAAGGCCGCCCTTGCCCAGCCCTTCCCGGGCTTCGCCGGTGGCCTGGCCACCAGCAACCGGCCGGCGAGGGGGGAAAAGAAAAGAAAAGAAAAAGGAAAGAAGAAAAAAAAAGGAAACAAAATATTTAAAATTAAAAATGCTGACTGTTCACGCTGGAAAAAATTATTTAAAATAAAAAATGCTGACTGTACACGCTGACTCAGCCTCCGGCGAGCCACGTCAGCGTAAAAAATTAATAAAAAATGCCACGTCGGATTTCCGGCCAAATTGGCACTAAAGTGATCTCTTTTCCTCCGACTTGGCACCAAAGTGATCCGAAAAAAAGTTATGGCACCAAAGTGATCGCCATACACAAGTTATGGCACTTGTGGTATACTTTTGCTCCAATACTTCTCATACTGCCTCCCTTTTTCGACTAGTGTTGACACCTAAATTTTGGAGACCCAATTAGTCATTCATTGCATAAAAATTAGGGATCGATCCCGGTCCTTAGGAAAAAATTAATTAGTTAAATGGCATATAGATATTAGGAGCATTTCATTGATAGTTAATTAGGGCCATATAGTTTGCACATTTATCGAACATACGGCAGCGAATGGTTATGAGCTTAATTCAATCAAACCCATGACCAAAAGTCACATATTTTGCATGTGTGATCTTCGGTCGCAAGAGATCTTCTGTATATATATTTTTTCTGCCACATGGAGGACCAAGAAGGAAGGGAGATTCATTATATTTGGCTGTATTGTCAGAAGATAGGAGGGAGTAATATCCTATCCGCACATATCTTTAATCCATGGACAGTAATTGGCAATATATCTTTTGGAAATTCCATTAAAAAATCTTGGGCGTCACGACAAGGCAAGGGGGAACATTCTTCACCGAGGCGAGGGCAATATATAAAGGAAAGAGGAAGTGTATCAGCAGATTTTGTTTCTTGGTATCTTTGTGCAAAGGAAAAAAAATATATGAAGGATACAAGAAGAGGAAAACGGAATCGGTCAACGTGGGGGATATATATTTGGAATTACGTTCTGGCGTCATGGGCACAAGCAAAAAGGGAAGAAGCCAAACGTAATATGTTTTAAATATTCTCGAGTGGGTCTCTTTCTAAAAAGGCCTAGACATTCTCACTTATAAAAGGATCACGTACAGACAACAACAGGGGGTCGAGAGAGGTATGGAAGGAGGGGCTTAGTAAAAAAAAGGGGGTGAGCAGAGAGAGGGAATTGGAGAGAAAAAAAAATACGCTTCACAGTACGTCAAAAAAAAAGGTGAGAAAAGTTAGGAGTGAGGACTTGGTCAAAAAAGAAAGGAGAGAATAGACGTGAGAAAAAGAAAGAGGGTTTTCGATTTCCACTAGCCAAGAACCTTGCATCGGCGTCTGTTGATCCATCCGCCGCTCGGTCCATTGCCATCGTCGCCAGGAAACAAGTTCGAGTTACTGCCGGGGTCCTTCGCTTCTGCCATTCACGTTTTTTTTAAGGCTGGGGATCAAGCATTGTCACCTCACCCGTGGATCAAGCAATCCTTGGTGTTTCAATTTGACAACTTTGTCAAATTAGGTAATGAATGTTCTTAACTTGTGATATTTGTCGTGAATGATTTTTAGGTAATGATTACTATTTGGATTACGAGAGAAACTTGCATAAAAATTCCTGGTTCTCCTTCTTGTTCTTGTTCAATCCGAAAATTCGCATTACATTGGTGATCACGTTAAAATTGCAATTTGACTTGCAAGATGTTAATTGGATCATTGTAATTTCGAATCCGTTGATGGTGTGGACTTGTGGATGACTATTGTTTGAATCTTTATTCAAAATTAGTGGATGGACGTTTCCCCTGTGGATGAGTTGATCTTATTTGAATTTTTGGTGATTGCAAGAGCTTCATCCAAATTTGCTAATGAGTATAGTGCACACGAAGATATCTCTAAAGGATTAAGCATTGTCTAAAAAAAACCTTTTTTTTTCAAAAAAAAAACTGCAATTTAATTGAATATTCTTTGGAAATCTTGGATGTGTATTACTTGTCAAATTTGGATAGAATTTGAAAATTTCATAATCTTTTTGAATATATCCAAGATATTCAAGATAGCAAAATCTTTTTAAGATGTGATCGGTTAGGAAAATCTCCTAATCCGCAACCGCACACATGGGAATAAGTCTATCTATCATGCTTTAGATAAAGTTATTTCCATAGCGGGTATTTCGAATTTTTAGGGTCGATCTGTCAGGCTTCTGGTCAAAACTTAGTTCGAAAGATTTAGCGGTTATAATTTTTTTACTAAAAGATTTGCGACTTGAATTTAAATTCGAAAATACAAAAAAAAATCATAAAAAACAAAATCCAAAAAAAATTTGCACCTTTGAACTCTAAGTCAAAATTCATCAAAATTGCCAAATTGAGCATTTTTCTTTAAATTGGTACCGAAAGGACGTTAGGGTAATCTAGCATAATCAAGTCCCCGGATTTATAATCTTTGGTTCGTAGAAATAAAATAGTACTCCCGCTATTTTATTTAGGTTCCTAATCAACCTACCTTAAATGATTAGTGGCGGCTCCCATTGAAAATGTTTGCATGCTCATAATTGGACCTAAGTTGCGAATTGATAGAGTTTGGGAGAACTCGAGCTAGGTTAGTTAATTTAATTGATCTAGTAATCCATTAGCCTAAAATTGGAAAACCTGATTTTTAGGTCGCGACAGCTTGGCGACTCCGCTGGGGACAACTTGAATTTTTTGAAAATTTAAGGAGGACTTAGGCCAGAAAATTTTCATTGAAAAATCACTCGATTTGGCAAAATTTGATTGAATTCTTATTCTTAGGTATTAAATGGTTTTGCCGAATGGGAGTTATAACGGAAGTAGTGATTGGCTAACCCTTTGTTTTGCAGGCTTGGTGGATTGGAATTGTGATTTAATTTTTGTACTATTGAAGTGGTGTTTGCATGTAATTGTTATGCATGATTTACCGTATTTGCACTACACCACACACAACCTGTGACCGGACCTGGGTCACACCCATAGTTTTAAGATGGTAGTTAGATGGTTCTTTAACCTTGGCGGTAAGGCTTCGCTAAAGGTTATCCCATCTGGATCCCGAAAATTTTTCAAAAAAATGGCTCAAGGGCCGTCCTCATGCACGTGAGGCTACGACGCATGGGGGTTGCCCTTGTTGACCGAACCAAGCCGAAGTGATTGGACCCGACTAGTCATGACAATTGTATGCAAGGCTGCGACTAGTCATGGTGATTGTGCGCAAGGCTGCGACATGTCGTTCCGTTCATCATTTCACTTTGCAAAAGCCTTTAGGGTAGACTGATTAAGATTTAAACTCACGATTCATGTGCATGTCTCTGTGATTGACACTTTCTCCCCAAAGGCGGTAATTTCTTGAGCTTTATCTTTGGTTTTCTTCATCTTATTTTGGGTCGGTCCTTGATCTAGGTTGAGTCATTTGGCAGGTGGTCTGTCTACGAATGGGTCGCCTCGATATCCATTTCGTGTCTTCTCCGAAGCTAGAGCTTAAGAAGTTATGGGGCCAGTTGAAGCTAGATGGTCAGCAGTACATTCTCAAACGCATTGGATTCATGCTGCCAACCCTAGACATAAATGTTCAGAGCGAGGTCATGCAGGCACTTGCTCATTTTTGGTGCCCTGAGACGACCATATTTGTGTTGGGAGGTAAGTTTGAGCTCACACCGACTCTGGAAGAATATAGTATTGCCATTGGGAAAACGATTGAGTTGGATATAGTTGAACCACCCATTCGGGTAGATCCTGTGGTAGCGCTTACTGAATTTTTGAGTTTGACTAAAAAGGAAATTGAAAAAGTGCTAAAGGGTAATTGTCAAACATGCCCAATATCTTTTCTTATTGAATGTTTCGAAAATAGCTCCGTCCGCATGAGATATAGGATTTTTATCTTAGCTTTTTTTGGACTCATCATTTTTCCATTCCGTCAAAATGCTATTGATCCCGTGATAGCTTGGACGGTAAAATAAATATGTGGTGGAGTTAGTTTCATAAACACAATTCTGGCACAGACTTTCATATCTCTGACACGATTCAAGAAAGAAAAAGATAGAACTTTTCGAGCCCCGATTGAGCTTTTACAAATCTGGCTTTTCTCACACCTTTCTCAATTTGGGGAAAATATGACTGCATTTGAAATGGGCATGACTGATAACCCTATTTTAAGGTTCAAACAAATACAAGATCAAACTAAGAGTTTGCACTATACACAATGGGTCCATCTGTTCAAGGATCCAAACTCTAAGATTTTCCTTTGGCAAGTTGTGTGGTTTCGAGAGGTTGAGGCTCGACTATGCCATGGCGATCAGAAACCCGTACCTTTGATGGGCATTTATGGGGCAACCAGCTATCAGCCTCTTCGAGTTACACGACAATTCCGAATTTTGCAGGATGTCCCACCCCCACTCGGGCCCAATGAATTTCAAGTCCAATTCGAGAAGGGCGAGTGCTACAGAGCCGAGCTTAGGCGACATTCTGAGGCTTGGCAGAAATGTTCCACTCAGAAGCTGATTTGGCCCGCAGATGAGCCCACCGGAAGGATGAAGAGTCACTTTGCCATGGCCCGGTATATTCAGTATCATACCATCCCTGCTAAGATACTCCCAAAGATCCCGGTTGTGACAGCGCGGCATACCCGTCAGATCCAAATCAAAATCAGCGAAGAAAAGGCGATGAAGGCCCAGGAAAAGGCAGATGTTTTGGCCGAAGAGAATGCACGATTACGGCATGCCTTGAAGGCCCATTCGTCTATAGATCACGTGTCCTCTAAAAAAAGGAAGACTATTTGATTTCATGTTTGGTTTAGGGAGTTTTTCTTTTTTTTTTAGGGAGGAAATGTTAGTTTACATTTGCACTTCATACTATTGACATTTTATGGTTGTTTCTAGGCGATCTTTCTAAGAATTCCTTTGAGACATTTTCTATTTTGGGCAATTCAATGAGAAATATTAAGCTATAATTTGTAAATTTTGGAATTAGTCTAGATTTATTTTATTTTATTTTATTTTATTAATAAAGCAATCTGGAATTTCGAAATTTACTGGACGAATAAGTCTTTTGAAAAAAATTTCGTCTTGGGGGTCTAAAGGATGTCATGGACCGACTCGCTATTCTTACTTGTTGTATTTATTCAATCGTTACTTTTTGTAGGTAATTTGCCACAGATCCCCCTCATCCTTATAATACTCGATCAGTGACTAAAAGAAGGATGGCCAATCAAGCCGAGATTGCAGCCATGATAGACGAAAAGCTAAAAGAACAAGTGAATACAATGAATGAGCAGATCGCGGCTACCACGTCCAAATTAATGAGTGATCTCATGACCAAACAGCAACAGATCAATGCTGCCTCTCAATCGGAGATTCCACCTCCAACCTGTCAAGGCCTCCGCCTTGACAAAACTCCCGCAGTAAACACTGATCCAACCTTTCAACTGGATGATGTCATTTTGACTGACACTAGTGTATCTCCGGCAGCCCATGTTCTTCATCCACCCCCCAATGACGAGAATGCCAAGTTGCTGGCTAAGCTCGACTAGAGGTTACGTGAAGTAGAGGGAACTCAAAGTGCTACGCCTGTTAATTTGTCTATTTTTGCCCGGATCCAAGTGCCTGATAAATTCAAGATGCCAGCTTTCGAGAAGTATGACGGCACCTCAAACCCAATTCAGCACATCGAGATGTACCAGGGGCTCATGAACAAATATGTTTCTAACGGGCCTCTAATGATCCAAACCTTTCAAGCAAGCTTGAAGGATGCTGCAATGAGGTGGTATACCAACCACCAGATCAACCGGAAGGACTCGTGGGAAGAGGTGGCAAACCTTTTCGTCAAGCACTTTAAGTTCAATCTCGATGTCACCATTACAAGGGAAGACCTGGAGAGAGCTGAGCAGAAAAAGGGCGAGACTCTAAAGGAGTATGCCACTCGCTGGAGGAATATGGCGGGACAGATCATGCCTGAACCCTCAGAGCGTGACTTAATGAAATTGTTCGTGTCCACTCTACCGCAGCCGGTTTGTTCACGAATGTTAGTAACGGCCGTCCAATCTTTTAGCCAACTGATAGCCATGGGTGGGGAGATTGAGTCCGGGCTCAAGAAAGGATGGTACAGTGAGTCGGGTTCATCAGGCAAGAGATTTACTAGTAAGAAGGACAAAGAGCATGTTCCCGAGGTCAACATGACTTATGTACAGAAGACGCTAGCTCAGGCCTCGAAGCTACAATTTACTACATAGCAGCCAACCTCTTATGAGCGGCAAGGCCAGCAGGACCCACGCCAGCAGCGCAAACCTCGCCAGTTTACTCTACTTCCTAGGACATTATCTCAGGTACTGGCGGTGCTAAGGAAAAAGAACTTGCTGAATTTAGAGCCACAAAGATCTAACGCTGCCGACTTTGCAAGGTATGATCCGTCGAAGAAATGCGATTACCATAGAGGTGAGGTAGGACATTCGACAGATGATTGCCAAGTGCTCAAACATCGAGTACGGGATCTACTCGAGACTGGAGCGTTTGCACTACAGCCAGCCGGTAAGCCCAATGTGCAGAACAATCCACTCCCTGATTTTTCGAGCAGTGCAAATATTGTCCTTGGCCCAGGGGTCAAGCAGGTTCAAAACTTTAGGGTCCCTTTTGAGGATATGTTCGATGCTTTAGTCCGAGCCGGTTATGTTTTGACTAGTGAAGTGGTGTCGTTCGGTGAAATAGAGAAGAAGGTGGATGAGTTGGTAAGAGACGGAATGATTGGGACGGCAGATGAATTCGGGTTAGTGGCCACTATATCTCAGGTCATCATTGACTGGAATGAAGAACTCGCAATGTTGACCGATGAACAAGTTAAGTTGGATCCTGAGCTAACTGACATGCCCCCTCTCGAGGACGCCTCTGACGATGACCTCGGGATCGTTAAATCCGATGCTTCTGAAGTATTGGTGCTGGCATCACCTCAGCCCTACGCTTATGAAAGTGACAAGATGGTTCCATGGTCATACAATGTTGATCTGATAACAAGGTCAGGGCGAACTTATGCTGATAATCAACCGGCCAAGCCAGTGGCCGAGAAAGAAGCGAAGGAATTCCTAGCTGTGATTAAAGCTAGTGAATATAGCGTGGTTGATCAGCTGAGAAAGTTACCTGCACAAGTCTCGTTGTTGGAACTTCTCCAGACATCAGATAAGCATCGGGGTGCTCTGATGAAGGTTTTGAGTGAGATTCATGTACCCGAGACTATTGAAGAAGATAAGCTAGTGGGGTTTGTCGGGGCAATCTTCCTCAAGGATCAAGTAGGATTTTCTGATGAGGAAATCCCAGTTGAGGGACGTGGTCATAATAAGGCGCTTCATATATCAGTGAAGTACAAAGAGACTCACATGGCTAGGGTGCTTGTTGATAACAGGTCAGCTTTGAATTTATGCCCGTTGGCTACTTTAAAAAGGCTGGGCATTGATCCATCTACCATGCAAGCAGCCAAGACTTCTGTTCGAGCCTTTGATGGAGTAAAGAAGGATGTGATAGGCCAGATTAACTTAGAGCTGCAAATCGAACCTTCGATGTTCGATATTCTTTTTCAAGTGCTGGATATCCCTTCTGCTTTCAATTTCTTGTTGGGACGGCCATGGATCCACAATGCAGGCGCAGTGCCCTCCAGTTTGCATCAGAAGATCAAGTTTGTGGCTGAGGCAAAGTTGGTTACAGTTTATGGAGAGGAAGATCACCGAATCTTCAATGCGACATCGGTCCCATATATAGAGCCCGATCATGTTGAGGAGGATAGCTATCATTCATTTGAGATAGTTCAAGTTGTTTAGGCTTCCTCTGATATGCCGTTGCCCGTTCCTGAGGTTTCTAATGCAGCTATCATGGTGGCCAAGGTCATGGTCGGTAATGGTTTTGAGTCAGGTAAGGGTCTTGGGAAGGAAGACCAAGGCATTCATGCCCCGATTGAGACAAATGGACAATCCAACACAGCTGGTTTGGGATATCACGGGCCGAGAAGCCGCGGACGAGGCCACGGTCGTTGCAGAGGCCGAAGAGGAGCAGGTCAAAGTCCTTTACCACCTCCCATTGACCACACCTTTCGCTCAGCTGGAGTAGTGGGGGGAAATGAGCATTTAAAGCTGAGCCCGACTGAGGATGATCTCGGGCTTATCTTTCCTAAGTCGCCACAAGCCCTAACTGACTTGCCTAAGAAGCACGGTAAAGCGATTTTAGTCAGTTTGTCTGATGATTCTGAGGATGACTAGCCACCCTGTATCTTCAAGAAACCGGAGTCGAGGGTGGTGGACTTCGACTTTAATGATGGTATACCCTACCTCACCGGTTGGTTTGCTGAGACCTCCATTGGTGCAATCACTGAAGGACCACTTGAAGGGATGGCGCTGGCCCTCAAGAGTAATTATTTCCAGTTTTCGTATCTCCCTTGCGTGGGAATCTTTATTGCTTTTTTTCGATTTTCATTCCAATTCATGTTGCACATAGGATTTTCAATCCAATAAGACGTAATTCATTGATTCGATATTAATAAAATTACAGAGGTTTTTATCATTTTGAATCTTGTTGAAGTGCCCCAAACCAGCCCGATGACGATAACCAACGATTGGAAAAATTTGTCATCTACGGTAAGAACTGAGGGTTGGGCTTCTCAAGAATTCTCGTCTTAAGGTCTTCGAAAGCAAAATGAATTTCAAAAAAAAGCAATGATCAATTTTCGAAAATTGCATGTAGTTAAGCTTTGTCTTGTCTTTTTGATCCCTTTCTTTCATGTTTCAGGACTAATCTCGAGGCATGCGAAGGGACGGGAATCATGGATCCTCATATATGTGATGCAAGTCAATCCGATGACTCGGACGATTCTAATCCGAATGATGAAGAGATACGACGGAACTTGGAAATCCACGAGAAATCTAAGCCTCTGACTGTTGAAGAAACCGTAGTGATCAATTTTGGCGACACGGAGAATCCTAGAGAGGTGAAGATTGGAGCATGTCTCCCTGAAGATGTGGCCAAACGCTTGACCCAATTGTTGAAGGATTATCAAGACATCTTTGCCTGGTCTTATGCTGACATGCCGGATCTCGATCGATCGATTGTCAAACATTGTCTGCCGACTGATCCTTCGGTTGAGCCCGTGAAGCAAAGGCCGCGAAGGGCAAAGCCAGAACTGGCAAAGAAGATCAAGAAAGAGGTCATGAAGCTTCTTGACGTGGGATTTATTGAGACTACCCAATACTCAGAATGGGTCGCTAATATAGTCCCAGTGTTGAAGAAAGACGGTCGGGTTCGAGTGTGTGTTGACTACCGAGATCTGAACAAAGCTAGTCATAAGGATGATTTTCCACTCCCACACATTGATGTGCTTGTGGACAGCACAGCCAGGTTCGAATTATTTTCCTTCATGGATGGTTTCTCAGGTTATAATCAGATATTGATGAACGAGGATGATAAGTTGAAAACAGCATTTACCACTCCATGGGGGACATTTCATTACAAGGTGATGCCCTTTGGTCTAAAAAATGCTGGGGCAACTTACCAGCGGGCAATAGTCACGTTATTCCATGACATGACGCATAATGAGATTGAGGTCTATGTTAACGATATGATTGCAAAAACTCGGCATGGAGAAGATCACATAAAAACCTTGACGAAATTATTCGACAGGCTTCGCAAATTCAAATTGCACCTCAATCCGGCAAAATGCGTGTTCGGGGCAACCTCTGGCAAACTACTCGGCTTCATTGTCAATAACAAAGGGATTGAGATTGACCCGTCAAAAGTGAAGGCCATTTGTGAAATAAAATCTCCCTCTTCGATGAAGGAAGTTCGTAGATTAATGGGTAGACTAAACTATATAGCCAGATTTATTTCTCAGCTATCTGAGACAGCGAAGCCTTTCTTTAAACTTCTCAAGAAGAATGTGAACATGCATTCGACAAGCTTAAGCACTACTTGATGAATCCGCCGGTGCTTGTTCCGCCGACGCCGGGGCAACCTCTGACCCTGTACCTTACAATCAACAGTGAGTCCTTAGGTGCCATGCTTGCTCAGAAAAGTGAGGAGGATGGAAAAGAGTGTGCGATTTATTATTTGAGTAAGAAGTTCACCGCCTCTGAGATGAACTATTCTGAAGCAGAAAGAACGTGCGCAGCACTAGTCTGGGTGCTACACAGGTTGAGGCAATACACTTTGCACTATCAGATATTGCTTGTAACAGAGTGTGATCCCATCAAATACTTGCTCAATCAACCCGCTTTGATTGGAAAACTGGCAAAATGGCAGATTCTCATCTCAGAATTTAATGTTCAATTCTTGTCTCAAAAATCAGTCAAAGGATGAGTAATTGCTGATGTCCTGGCCGAAAATCCTGGGAAAAATGAGGATCTGGGTCCGCTAGAGGATAGAGTCATGCCAATTGATGAGTATGTATGGACCATGTATTTTGATGGGGCTGTAAACTTGTCAGGATCAGGTATAGGGGTAGTTTTAATATCCCCAGGTGGACAACATTATCCGGTGGCGGCGAAACTGATATTTCCTTGCA